CAAACAATAATTTTGCCTCTGATTTTGTATGGGTGTGAAACTTCATCTCTGACATTCAGGGAGGAACATAGACTGAAGGTGTCTGAGAAAAAGGTGCTGAGGAGAATATTTGGCCCGAAGAGAGGTGAAGTGACTGGAGATCGGAGAAAACTGCACAGTGAGGGGCTTCATAATATCTACTCTTCGCCAAATGTAATTGGATTGATCAAGTCATGGAGGATAAGATGGGCAGAGCATGTAAGCCTACTTCCGTAAAATGCTGGGAAGTCCTTCAGTAGCTGCACAATAGGCGGCTTCTCAAGAAGGGCTCAGCTCCATGAAGTTAGTTTAGCCAGTATATCACAATAGTAGTATGTAACTCGGCTGATCACATAATGAGAATTTAACTTAAATCCGTGTAATGATATCCACAATCGTTCTTAGAATAATATAAGTGAAAGTTCACGTAGGCTTAGTTACAAACAATAAAGTGTGAGTCACTCTTATCCAATGCCCTCTACATATAATTTCTATGGTTTTACAATTGGCTAAGTACGGTACAACACTGGACTTAAGCATGACCATGAGCTTCTGTGCGTGTCCTATTCCGAGAAATTACGAAAATAATTTTGTATTACAGTGGAAGAAACCCTCTACCAAAAAAAATGCTTGGCCTCACAACCCAGAAGACAACACTGTGCAGGAATGACCTTGAAAATTTAGCATTTCATATAGCTAATCATACAGATTTCTATTACGTATTCAGTGTTTTTTTTGTTAAGGAATAAAAAAATGTGACACATGATGCATGATGTTAAGTTTCAAAATAGGTTTCAGTTTGTTATTCTCACAAAGCAAATGCACATAAAATTGGCAGTACTCACCAATAGACCGTATGAAGAGATGATCTGAAGTCTGCTACTGAATTCCATGAAAACGCATCTGTCTCTCACAAATTCAAGAAATTACTTTAAACAACACCGATACATTACTTTACCAATAAGAGAAAACTGAAACAATTCGTATAAATCAGGACGAACCAACACCAACTTTCTTCGCTAGTAATGTTACAACACATTTTATCAAAATTGAGCGTTGCAATGCGAAGATAGAATAAAGAGCCAACTCCAGAAATAATAAACTCCAAAAATAGCATTAAATTCCAATCAGGTATACTTATATCACCTTTAAATTCGCCACAACACTTCTGAAGCAAACTAATTCGCGCTTACCTGAGCGCCATAACAAGATTTATGGCGCCTATTAAAAACAAATGAAATACACACGCCGCAACTACCTAGCAGACTTCAGCTGTTTTCCGAGTGCGTTCACTACATTCGCTCTGCGGGTCAAAGTTACACTCAGGTAATTAGTTTGACCACAAACGGAACCAAAGCTAACCCATTTCCTTCTTCGTCAAAAAACATGCGTGATCTACTGCGTTGCGATAGAGGAAATAACAAATGTGATCGTGCCTTCTGCTTCTTCCTAGCAGTATTGCGGTATTACCCGTGTTCTCAAATATCGTCATTGCTTATTTAGCGAATACCTATCAACTGTGAAGTTTATACAACATGTAAAGGCATGAGATTAACACAAACTGATGTTACAACAACTTTCTTCTTGTTTCTATTCCTAACCAAACACTACATGTTTCGACCACAAACGGTCATCATCAGGTGACATACACATATCAGTCAAAAATATCTACAGTGTAAGGGCATACTTAAAAAAAGTGCACAAAACGTGAAGAAAATAATGAATTTGATGGAACCCAGCTTAATTTTACATGGACATATGTATAAATTTGACGGTATCTGCCCCACTAGAAATATTCGCTGCCCATTTCTGCGAGTATGTTATGGCTCAAATCTAGTTATATATATATACAACTCAGGCACTTCGCACTCCTATGCGATACGTCCACCTTCCGCCTATCGTCCTTCTCGGTCACTCTAAACCAAAACCACAACTTTACATGCAAGTTAATTCTGAACATTCGGGGTAGTCTTCCTGCTGTTCGTTTCGTGAGTAGCCGGCGTTAATACAAAAAAAAATTACATGAGGGAGTTTCAATTTTATACCTATGTCCATTAAACTTAGGTCGGATGCGACCTAACATTTTTAAACGTATAAAAATTTAACACATCCACAATTTCGGTACTGATATTTTTTGACTGATCACTGAACGTCACAGGATGAGGGCCGTTTGTGTTCATAACATGTAACGTATAGTTAAACATAACTTCGTGTGACGGTTAATCACAGCCCTTGAAAAATAAACAGACAGGATGCAATTTTACACAATTTACATAGCATCACATGAGACTTTTAATGCTATACGAAGGGGCTATTCTGGGTTTCTGTTAGACTCTGCGGAAAACCACAAAAAAAAAAAAATCAGTTTTATCGTGATGTGTCCAAGACTGGAATAAGATACATATCAAATAAGCGGTCTCAACTCAGCAACAGATTAGAGGTTACTGGACAATAACACATACTTTAACTACAAAAGATGGCAGAAGAACCACATGGAATACTGACATTAACGTCATGGTCAAATGGGTACCACTTCTGCTTCGTAATCGGGAGGTCCGGGGTTCAAAGCTCGGTCTGGAGACCGGATATCACGACTGACATTTCTCGTGGTTTTTATCAGTCCCTCCAGATAAATCCCACGATATTATACCTCAGAGTAGGCCATGATCATTTCCTTCCACTTGCTTTCCAGTTAATTACTCTTTGCCGTCGCATCATCAGCGCTACATCATACTCAGCTTCTGACGCCGTGAACACGGACTCAAACTCTCAGATATGCAGATGTGGTGCCATGCGTCTACACTGAACCATCTGCAGTATTGCATCACTTGGGCCGCTGCCCGAGTCAATCTTTGCTACATTAGCAATAAAACATGTAAACATGCAACATTGGAGGACCAAAGGACATTCAGACCACTCGGCGTAATAACATCATCATTTTCTTATTCTACTGCTCATACGGTTTGGGCACTCCGCTGTTTCGCCTCGCAAATCGTTCGGACAGGCGGCGAGACCCTTGGCCGGGGCATCGGCCCACCGAAAGGAAAACAAAACACGGTCGTCTGCACGCGCGAAACCGAGATTGCGAGAAATGTAGGAGCGCTCGTCACGTATTGAAGGCACTATCCCTGATTGAAGGAGAAGCCTCAAGCTCTACTCGAACCGCGGACCTTCCGAATAAGAAAGTCTTCCATTCGTCCGCAACGCATGTTCGCAGTGTTGCCACTCTCGCCGTAGGAGAAAAAAACATTTAAGGCAACTGGAACCCACACACAGGATCCAACAGTTCAGAAGAAAAGCAATGCTAGCATAATTTTGATAAAGAAGCATTTTCTGAAAGTAGACAGTTTGAACACATGGGGAGATATTCATTAATTTTAAAAGAGGACATGTAGATGGACGAGGGACGAAGCTGACACCCAGTCTCGTGTCTAACGGTTAGCTTTGCTATCAGTCGCGTTCTGGAGGTCTCTGCAGATAAGCAGAATTCTGCAAACATTATAGAGACACGCGGCTTGGCAGTGCATGTAGAAGCCTGGGAGTGCTCCCCGTACAGCATTCACCAGTCTGCTGCTGATATCTCCGGCACTGCTTCCACAGAATTATCTTTCGTCGTACCTTTTCAAAGGCGCAGCTGCAGGAACGTCTCATGAACAACACGAGCTACATGTCCTCATATGCTGGGATGGAACTGGCGTTTCTGTAGCAGGCAACCGCTCCAGCCCACTAGAAAACACCGACGCGATGTAGGCTTGAGAAGCAGTTCTTCGCCTTGGCCATATACCGATTTTTTGGAACTACGCAGGGAACAGGGATGGAAACTGTCCGTCAACTTGTTGTGCTAGTAAACAGCCTCGCGTGACGCTCAAAGTGGCCGACCGCGCCGTCTAAGGCATGAACCGTTTTCGCCTGCTCCAACGCTGGGGTGGGGGGGTTCGAATCCCACTCGAGGCACAGATATCTGCGTGCGTTTATTCTGTTTGTGCTGTTCTGTGGGTGGATAGCGGCCTTGCGACGGGCTGATCCCTCGTCCAAGGAGTCCTGCCGACTGTGTACAGGATTATGAATCTGAAAAAGCGGCCAGGACCCAACACAGAGGGTCGCAGAAAGAAAAACTATAATCTTGAGCATCAGACTGCAGTACGATTGAATTTTATGCGAGGATGCATACCTCAAGACCTCGCATAATTCAATGCAGGTTTCCTCATACAAATAGACGTAAAGTAACGGTGATTTGTATTTTTCGAACTTTGCGCATGAAGTGAGACTTGCTAATATTTATATAGAAATTCTCCAAACCCGCATGAAGGGCCGCGCCATAGCTCAAGCAGTTAGTCGCTGACTTCCGATCGCTGCAGCCCGGGTTCGATCCCGGGTCTGGTCAAATGGGATTTGTGGTGGACAAAGTGACGCTGGGGCAGGTTTTCTCCGACTACTTCAGTTTCTCCTGCCAATTTTTATTCCACCAACTGCTCCACAATCACCCTCACCTATCATCTGGGGCTGGTACAATAGGCCAGAAGTGGACGCAGTACAAAGGACTAAGTCCCACGCCATTAGCAAAAAAAAAAAAAAAACGCACGAAGCGCAGCAGCACTGCAAATAAAAGAGACTAAATATACGGACGGACGGACATAACCTTATTATGGATCGAAATTGTACACTTCCTGCAAAAGGTAATACGCACGCGGTATATTTACTTTCCAGTGGGACCCGACCTCTCCATATTCACACACGTCTAACTCAGGGCACACTACGTACGTACTGTTTAATGTCGCACTTGTCACTGAACGCTTGTGAAACGGCATCAAGTGAGGCGGGGTGCGAATTTCTCACAGCTCGAGCCTCAGCGCAGCGTTGTCCAAATGCAGCCATTATTGTTTCTAGCCAATGAGAGGGCGAAGTAATGCTATCAGGCAGTCTGTTCAACGAGAACGAGGGAAGTGGTAAGGTGGAAGACAATAACAAATAATAACCCGGCATTACAGTATGTTTTCATATTTTTATTTACTATTTTTTGGAGGCTTTATAACACTTTGAGTTGGTTGGGCTTTTCATCAAAAATAATTGAAAATAAACACAAAACGCCCATTCAAAATAGACATCACATTCTGTATTAAATGTATTTTCTTTTTTATTATTATTATTATTACGGTATTAATGTACACACACACACATATATATATATAATTGAAAACTGGGTGGCTGTTGAAATCCAAGAACTTTTGATAGGGTATCCTGAGAGTTTCGTGTAAGACAAAACAAGATACAGTCACTGCTTGAGGAAGTATAAGTAAATTTGTGGGATCACATAAGACGAATTGTTTTTTTAACATCAGGAGTTCCCAAATTACATCAAAATAAATATAAATTCCAAGCCTCCAGGCGAGGACTAAATAGGCCGGTCACTACCTCAAATCTACACTCTGAAAGTGCCAAAAACAGGCGATAAACTGCGAAGCACCATCACTGGCCGTTTTCTGAATGCCCCTTTCTAGGCGTGCTTCCAACTAAGATGTAAAATTTGAAAAGTCAAATGTTACACTATCATCAAAGGAATTAAATGATAAATAGGATATAAAAATGCGGACTCACAAACTCTTTAATAATACTCAGTAATGATTAAAACGGAGTTATTGGGGTCAGTGTTTTGAAAATATATACATAAAAAAACTTTCTTCATAATTTACTGGGCACAGTTTTCAACTGCTTGCCGTTACACGGGAGGGTTGGGTGCAACACAGCCGCATGGTCACGTGTCAAACACGGCTACTTTGGGAACCCCCGAGTTATGTGACGGCCAGTTTCACTGTGAGCACGATACATGCCTTCTTCCCCACAAGGTCAACTTTCGGTTCTTGCAACATCCGGACGCTACGCCGGTTGGCACTGTGCAATATAAAAATGCGTGGAACTGGCCGTCTGCAACACACATAAATTTTATATTTTCCGAGGCACCGTCTACCTTAAGACACACTACGATAGTGTTTTACATTGGCCTGATGCTGTAGAACCACATACATGTAACACATGTTAAACACACATTTTCCTAATATTCTGCAAGGATTCGCTTTAAGGGTGTTTAATTAAATACATTAGTAGTGTTAAGCTAGATTAAAATTTGAACTTTCGCTAGCATAGTGTCAAAACAGTTTGCATACATAAATTATGCTCTTTTTTTTTCGAAAATATTCATAAAAGGTTATGATGCCAATTCCGGTATGTGGAGTCTAATCGACTACATACACAAAATTGGTTCAATCACCGATTCATTCAGAAGGAATTATAATATTTCACAGATATGTCTAGATCTCTGTCCCTTGCTCCATCTCATTGCTACATATACTCCAAGTTCTTTACTAAAATGGTTGTTAAAGATGTAAGACAGCTGACTGTTTCAATTAAGCATATACAGATCAGCAGCAACTGGGATTCTCTCTCCTCTGTCCATCGCTGAACTTGAACTACTCTTACGTAACACGTTCACGCTTGCGCAATAGGCAGAACGTGACTCCAAAACGTCATGTCCTGTCACGACTTCTACGCGTCCTGAAAAGTTCGCTTCTTTCTCTACCATCTATCTCATGTAAGAAAATTTTGGTACTCAATTCCTGTGTGGAAATATTCCACCTTTCGGGAATTAAATACAAACATGTTCATAGTTCACACAGTTTTCATGAGAATTCAATGCAAATTCTTGTCTCGCCTACCGAAAACAAAAAAAGGTACAAAATAATCACAATTTGAGGCGATGGGACAAAGGAAGGAGAATTTTAAATCTAGATCTATGATTATTTTGATTTGGCTGCCAAATCAGAAAACAACCACATACAAGTTATTTTACAAGTGATCCGACTTCAAAGCAAATTTATTTCTTTATGAAAGCTAACATACTTGAAAAGCCATTTCCTCATTTCTGACATACTGCTTAACCCCCATTTGTACGTGACACTGTTCACTATGCGGACAGGTTTGACTAGTGAGGCACGGCCTGCCGAAACATCAGGAGACGCGAGCAGAGAGCACTTGGGCTTTCATACATCACAACAGTAAAACCAGAGTGAAAACGTTATTTCGCAGAAACTGGTTTCCAATATTCATTCAACTACATCAAATAAAAGAGGCGCAAAATATGGCAATTTTAATTCACAGTGTGCGCTTAGAAAGCTTCAGTCCGACTTATATGGTCTAAAATGTCACAATTCGATCTCAAACTTTGGGGAGGGGGGTGGAGAAACAGCAAGAGATTTGAACACATTCCCACAGGAAATTCAGAATGTAGCCAGTACACAAACAGCGGAAATAAAAAAATAATAGAATGTAATAGGCCTATAACAAAGCATACCAACATTTGAGTCAATTCCTTCGTTAGTGCAGCTAGAGGGACACCAAATATGAGGGTGTGGAGGTCAAGCGGGGCCTGCATTTGTAATTGCACCTGAAAACAAATGCCTACAGCCTGAAGTTTCAGGATAAGTACAGCGACTGTTCAGCGTCTCCATAAAAGTTCAGAGTGTATGCGTAAGACGCAGGATTCACCGCAGAATAAAGGCGCCTGTCTTCTCGAAGAATACAGATCCTATCTTATGCCAAACTACGTATTCTAAAACTGTACATGATTCCTGTTCCTGCATCCTTCATATAAGAAATGAAATATCAAAAATGTATTGGTTAAATACTACAAGGTTTCATATCCTAAAGTAAGACTAATCACAACAATAGCATGATGCCACTAACAATATCGCACTTAACACTAACTTCGTCGAACTAGAACTTTCGCAAAAATAGTTTAAGCCAGCTACTCTTTCCAATACATGCAAATGAATTCTTACATACGAAATGGTCTCAATTAAGAAAACATAACCTAGTCACCTTACAACGATCTAGTTGGCACTGGCAAGATTTGCAGGGTTCGTTCGAACACTTCGAACAGCCCACAAACGTCGACAGACAATGGTTATCACAATACAATGGGGGGGGGGGATTGAAAACTTGAACACTGCAATAAACCATTTCGCCCCTACTCAAGACACTCGAATGCATGGGCATGCTCTCACGTGAACAACGGCTCTGTTGCACATTTGTTCACAATCGTCTTTTCCAAAGTGGTGGGGGGAACTCGACTTACCATGCCTGCGAATCTTTGGAGAAGAATGCAAAACTTTTCTGCTGCTCTTTCCCCCGTAACAGTAATCTGACAGCTTACAAGTATCACGTAAAATTCTGAGCTTACTCTATGCCAATGGTGTTTCTATCACGTGGATTTTAAAACAAGAGTCCCATACTTTCTATCAAAATTCCATAGCTTTTAAAACATCTCATGAAATGCCACAAACAAGTAAAAGTGATTTACTGCCCCACTCGTTTCAATTACGGACCTGCTTATTAAAATGGCGACACACTACAACTTCTTTCATTGAGAGGAAAAGTGATTTTACAGGTTACGTAATAATGAAATGCAAATGGTCCTCACTGCTTGGTTTCGGCCGACGGGTAAAAGTATGGCGTTCATTTCAGAACATATGTAGACATGGAACATAAATATAGCAAACACTGCCAACTCGCAGAACCAGTATCTGCCCTCCCTTCAGCATCCAACACTTTCGCTCTCCGCTCAACAAGGAGGTCACTACAGTCGTTTGGGCAGCCATGCAAATCAAAGATGCAGAGTTACATAAACTTTGACCGTTTTCTCCTGTCAAATGTCTGTTTGTGGCCACGAGTCCCCCCCCCCCACACTTAAACCTGCCCTTTTACTCTCAGAAACATTATAGTAGGCGAAATTAAGGCTGCAGGTTAATTATTGGCAATTCTTGCTTCAACTGACACAACCTGTTCAACCAATTCATGTGATCGTGGAATGCTTAAGAGATATTTTGGTTTGAGTGAGTTACTGAGCCACCAGAGTGCTCTTGTCAATAGCCTCCACCACTTCACTTCACAGTCGGACGGGAACACAGTCTTGGGGCCAGCAGGCGCCATCACGAGGAGCACGCCATCCAGCTGCAGGTGCAGTGGTAGCAGGGCTGCTGCAAGGGCGCGTAGTAGTAGCCGTTCGCGAACAGCAGTGCGGTGGGCGGGTGGTGTTGGGACAGCAGACGCTGCTGCTCCTGACACAGCACCAGGTACGCCAGCTCCTCGATCAGCGTCAGCGTCTGGCGACGCTCGTGCCCCATGAGGCACACCGTCGACTCCTCCACCACATTGTGCAGCAGCATGAGGTACCGATATTTGAGGCTCTCCTCGTCAGGCCCCACGAAGTGGTTCCACAGGTAGTTCTCCAGCTTCGCCCTCTGCTGCCCGATGTCCGAGAAGTCGATAAAGAAGCGAGAGCACATGTATCGCTCCAGAGTCTTGATGTAGTCTGGCCGCGCGGGGCGGTACGCTTTCACCAGTAGGTTGCAATACTTGAGGAGGCCTCCCCCACGGATCTCCTCGGGGTGACGTGTCGCGATCAACTTCTTGTGCAGGTGGTACAGCGCCTCTTGGAAGTCGCCGTACACAGACTCACCAACCACAGTCGGATAGAAGTTCTCGCCTATCGGCAGCTCGCTGCACTCGTAGAAGAGGAGCAACGAATCCAGGACTATCTGGAAAGAGTCCACGGAAAACTCGAACTGGCGCCTCATAGAGTCCACGAACTTCAACTCGACGTTCTTGTGTCCGCGCGAATTGCCAAGCGATATGAGCGACCAGCGGTCCCCATCCTGGTTCACTTTCACCATCTTACTAACGTAAGCCTCCTTGAGGCTACAGGTGGTTATCCTCTTCCGACTCACGCCTTCCGGTAACAGGTCGAACAGCGAGCCCAGTACGGCGCTCTTCACCCGATCGAAGTTCCTACCCCCTGACAGTTCCACTCCGAAAATGAGGTCCAGGTCGTTGTACGGCTGCGACTCGGTAGCCAGGACATGCGACGCGGCGCCGCCATTCAGCCGGATGTCACGCACGCGCATACCGGCGCCGCCAGACGCTGTGTCCGCCTCCAACTTGGCGCGAACCACGGTCACCAAGTCGCGCAGACGCACCTCCAGAGTGGGGAAGTTTCCCCGCCCGTGGATGCTCACTACCTCGTCCATGACGTCATTGAGGCGTCGCACTTGTTCGTAACTCAACACGGCGAGTCTCTGCTGACCGCCACCGCCACCCCCACTCCCGGTGCTACTGTCCTCAATGCTGCTGTTCTTGACGTTGCTGAGGGACTCCATGATAGTCACGTGACGCCGACAGTCCTCACCGATCTGCAGGGAGCCGCACTGGAAACAAGAGGCTACAGTTACAATTCTGACATGATAAGGAAACCCGGTTACATAAAGCGAAGCAATCGGAAGGAAGGACGGACGGACCTCAGCTGGCCCTAACTCCGTAACGGTCGCTTCTTGCACGAATCACATTACTGTCCTCGTAAAATGTAAACAATTCTGTGAGCATTACTTTCGTCCTTACCGACTGTTTAGCAAGTTTCATTACTAGCAACTGCATTGCTTTCATTGTCGCAAATCATGACATCTATCACTTTCACTATTACAACATACGTATATTTAGCAATTTTCATTCTAATTAGTGATTATGTTACTTTCACTGTGCAAAATGCAGGAACAGCACTTTCGTCCCTGCAAGATATCATTAACAACTGTACCAACTGCCTCCGTCAGACGCCCCTAGCTTACTTTTGCTGAACAGGCCTGTTTAATAGGAGAACCCCACACGCTACACAAACTACACTGAGAACCCAGCAAAGGCTGCATTTACCTCAAACGAAAATGTCACATTAAAAAAATTTAAATTCAGGTTATGAATAGCGCACACTGCAGAAGTCTACTAGCATTGAGTCAGTCATGCGGAGGATAAACATGGTCTTCTTAAGGCCAAATATTGAGCCATTCCCAGTTAGGAAACGAAAACACACGAAAACTAACCTTGCTGCGCAAGCTGTCAACGCCAGTGACAACTGAAAGCAGCTACCAGTCCGCAACTTCCAAACCCAACCACACTTCTCGACAGCCACTGCTGGACTGATACTGTCTTCTGGTCGAGCTGTGTTGCTAGGCAACGCAAACAGAGTGAAAGGGAACAGTGACGTCAAACCAATACGGGCACGTATGCTTGTAACCATGTGATACAGTGCTGCAACCTCGCGGCGAGACGCAGAAAATAGCCACATTCGACACAAAAAAAATCCTGTGACGTCATATACCGTTG